CACACACACACACACACACACACACACACACACACACACACACACACACACACACACACACACACACACACACACACACACACACATCCATTACAATTTAATCACATTATTCATTCCCTCTGACACAAGCCATATAGAGCAAAACACAGTGACATGAGTAGGTCTGGATCATGTTAAGGTCCAGACATAACCTTGTACTTTATATCACCGGAAAGCACTTTATTGCAGAGTCTCATCCTTGCTGACCATGATGGTTTTGATGCATTGAGCTATTAGCCCTCAAGTCAATCCGTGTGTTTTGGTTGCTGCAGTGTTACCTTTAGTTTGTCCTTTGAATCTACAAGAGTGTGTAATTCTTTACTGTTAAAGCCTTATATCAAAGTGTTTTTTTTTACCATCTGTCTGATGAGCAGAATGCAGCATTTATGTTGCCTTGCGGGCAGCTTGATAAAGTGTCATATCTTATTTATGTGTTTTAGATCTCTTTCTGTATCTCCACCTGAGCTTATTACCTTCAATCATCACATAGTATTGGTTAACCCACTGTTTGTTGTAGACACAAACTGTGGCCCTCTCCCTCTACCCCACTCATGTCTCTGTATAATTGATGAGTAGTAAAGCAGAGGTATGAAAGTCATCCTGGCTCTTCAGGAAGAGCTCTAAAAGCCTCAAAGAGGTGTTTAGTGGTCACAGGAAGTGGAGGTAGAGAGTGATGGACAGAGCTAGAGGGAGAAATAGAGGGAGAATCAGACATTGATTAGGACTGTAAGTGAAATCTGATAGCTTATTAGCTCAAAGTGGACACTGTCAATATATCATGCACATTACCTGATTATATAATAATGTATCCATCAACGTAACGAGCACACATCGAGTCAGCTGACAGACTCAGTTAACGGATTATTTTATTAGCAAAAGATTAGTTATGAAGTATATAGTAATAGTGCCAACACCAGTTAGTTACCGTAGTTAGACTGGTATTACATTTTCTCTTTGGCTTTACAACTTCACTGAGTTCGATACACTTTTCTACTAAGCAACACAAATGTAAGGCAACGGTTTTGTTTAAGAAGTTAAAATGAAGTACACGGGATGGGGCAGTTTACCTGTTTGTATAACAGCAAATACTCTCAAAAGGAAAATTGTGCAAAACAGTAAGTAAATCCATAATGTTTGCTAGAGTTATTGAAATGTCATTTATATAGAATAAGGGTGTCAGGAGCCACGTCAGTAACACTCTCAGCCCATACTGCAGCGTGCGTGTGTTCAGTAGAGATCAACCTCCTCTCCTGAAGAGAGAGGCTGATAATGCTTCTGCTGCCCAAGGTACCTTTCCACTCTCCCTGTGCCTCATGGGATACCACGCGCACACATCTCCTGCATTGCTCGAGTGGTGCGTGGCGCAGAAAAGGTCATGTTTATGTACATTCGTCCTAACGCGGGCACGTAAACCTGAATGTTATAAAACTTAAATCAGCTTCTGCTGCATCTTTTTTTAATAGATCATCTGTTACTGAGTGGGCTGTATGTGACACACCAAAGTACGACTTCTATTTTTGTAATTCTTCACACCGTAAC